AAAACAATATAATTTGGATAATTTGCATTGCATGAAAGATTTGCGATGAATATCGTTATAATATACAAGTGATATTTATAGCATATTGTAATTCATTGAATAAAAAATGCATTTTACAAAGTATAATTGAAATGTTACTCTTTATTTTGCTTGAGAATTTTGATTCACAAACAGCGAGTTATATTGAATCGGTCATTGGTATCATGTCACTTCAATTTGAGAAGGATTTCATGAGCCAAACTCAAAGGCTATTGAAAGTTGAAACTACATGATGTGTTTTGTAATATGACCCTCCGTTAGTAAATCTAATTCCGAGGACTGGGAGAAGGCACGTTTGTGAGATCATAAAAAAAGCATGTGCTTGATGTACTTTATAATCTTTGGAATTCTGTAAAATCTCACCGCCAAAACGCTTGAAATCGCATTTCAGAGACTCTAGATTTCAAATTTTTCCGGGGGGGCATGCCCCCAGACCCCCCTGGCATGTCTCACACCTTCGGCGTTCGACTTATGTTTGAAAAATCCTAGATCCGCACCTGGGTGCAAATGCCCGGGGGGTGATGGGCAATTGTAGAATTAACTGATGCATTAATACTGCTAATATAGAGAAAGGGCCAAAGGGGTACTCCTGGCCCCTGGGGGATATGTGCACAACTGTACATCACTTTAATACTCTAATTAAGAAATTACTTAAATTCCTGAAATATATTGTTTTCAACACTTACTTTCAAACGGAAGTAACCAGATCGGACTTGCAACAATGTAATATTTCTCAGCACTTTCATGTCAAAATCAAACAATATTTTCAATTTTTCATTTGAATTTCGAGCAATGTTTCCACTACCCTGGATTCCAGAGCCTTCGACAGTAAATAATAAATTGAAATGTCGCGAAGGCTCTGGTTCAACGGGGCGATTCTTTGATTAAGCCGCGCCAATCACAAAACAGAATTAGTGGTTTTAGTACAGAATCTGTACTAAAACCACTAATTCTGTTTTGTGATTGGCGCGGCTTAATCAAAGAATCGCCCCGTTGAACCAGAGCCTTCGCGACACTTCAATTTATTATTTACTGTCGAAGGCTCTGGAATCCAGGGTATGTTTCCACTTTCTGAACTAGAATTTGCTTTCAAACAATTTTTCAAACCAAAAATTTCCCGGGTGGGTTTGGCACAAGAGAACTCTGGTTCCGGGGTGTGTGTGTGAAAATCTGACTTGCTATGCTAAATTCCTTGTTGTTGTTTTTTTATACACGTGTTTGTATAAACAATTTCCACAAATTACTGTATGTTTTATCCAAAATTTTGAGTTTTTGAAACTATTTTTAATCTCGTTGAGTGTTTGATGATGAATGAATCAACAAAAATTAAATGGGAAGACAACCAAAGGAAACAAACGCGACTGTCGCGACACAAAAGTCTGAAGAACACTTTATATTTGAGTCTATTTGTTGGATATGGGGTGTTTTACTACAACAGAAAGTCTTACAGCTCTTTAATTCCAGCTTTACTACAGTCGCGGTATTTAGGAGAGAGTGAACTTGGTTTTATTTCGAGTTGCTTTGCGTTCAGTTATGGTTTAAGTAAATTTGGAAGTGGTATTTTATCGGACAAACTTCAACCGAGAGAATTATTCGTTATTGGTTTAATCGCTACTGGAATTTGTAACATATTTTTTACATTTATTGATGGTGTGATGTTTTTATCCTTTGTCTGGTTGATGAATGGCTTGGTCCAAGGTTTAGCATGGCCGCAATGTGCAAAGTTGTTAAAAGTATGGTTTGAACCACACGAGGTAAATGGGACAAGGTGTATAGTGTATACTGTATACGATACCGCATTTGCTTGTCGCACAGAACCACTTAACACTTGGAATAGGGGCAAATTTTTATTAGAGGACATGAGTGTCATATTGTTTATGTCATTACCAAGTGAAACTGGTACCGTAAGCCTTCACATATAGCCCACCTGAGTATAAGCCCCCCATGTATAAGCCCCTCCCCATGTGTAAGCCCACCATATTCACTAAAGCTCAGGCCATTTCAAATATAAGCCCTCCCAACTATAAGCCCCTCTGTGGTATATATTTACAGGTATTTATTAACCCAGCAACAGGGATTCGAACAGCTCAGACGGGTGACAATAATTACAGAATCATAATATGTTAACCCTTTACAGAGTCAATTTCACATAACTTTTCCCCAAATGTTGTGAACTTTGTTGTGAAGTTCAAAAGTTTGTATTGAAATTCACGAGCTGGATTGTAAACAAAGCCTCTGATTGGCCCCTGAATATATATACTCATTGTGTCATTCAACCCTTTAAGTGGCAATGTGCCCAGATATATATATGTATATATATATATATTGCCACTTAAAGGGTTGAATGACACAATGAGTATCTGATTCAGCACTAATATCAGACTGACAGCTACATTTGCATTTTTGTATAAATTTTGCATATCAAATGAGCTTTTGCACGTTCTGATTGGCTAGTTGATTAGTAAATCTGACACATTATTTACCACCAGACTAGTAAATAATGCTTTTCAAAAATAATTATTTGGCAAATGGTTTCAAAATTGACGAACTGTTGAAAAAATCGTCCCCAGAAAAGAAAAAAAGCACAAAATGTTGTATTTAACTTGAAAGGTAGGATTCCTTTATTATTTTACTCTGTCAAACATATTCACGGACAATTTAAAACTTATTTAAAACTCAGTGAAACATTCACTTCAAGTTCAAACAAATAGAAAAAAAACTATCCATCTGGAGTGTTGGGAAAAACGTTGGCGTCACGTGATATTCTTTTAATTCAAAAACCATGACCAGCCGACAATTTAAAAGAAATAAAGTAAAAAACAAATTCCGAAAAGACAAGAAAGACATCTTGAGAATTCAATATATGATTCAAAAGAAGACACAGGTTGAGACTGTAAATTTTCAACTTTATTTCAAAGTCATCTTCAGACAGAATGAAATACAATACGTTACAACAGATATATACACAACGCAGAGAAAGAGCATCTGTCATGTGGGCGGAAAGAAGGATTATCCAAGCGAAGCGAAAGATGATAAAGAAATTAGTAAAAACTGAAAATGGATTATTTAGCTATATTTACAACAATGTTTAATATATTAAAAGGATTAAGGTAGGAAGGAAAGACCCGGCAAGTAGAAGAAAATTAAGTTAAAGTGTTATGTGAACAGTTGTAGTTCTTTACTAGCTTTAAGTCCAGTGTTAAGAAAAGGTTTGTTGTGTTTGCTGATAAGCAGTGCTTCAAGAAAAGCAAGAATGTTGTGGTTGTTAGATTTGGTAATGTGAAGTATTCTGCAGCTATTGAAAACAAGGTTTTCAATAGGAGAAGAGTTTTCAGAAGGCAAAAGAAGATCGTTGAGTAATGTGAACTGGTCTTGTAAAGTAGCTAAGAATTGAGCATGTTTACACTCAGAAAAATGTTGCCCAACTGCACTAGAATAGAGCCTAGTTGCATGCTCTTTCAAACGTACAGAAAGGCATCTTTGTGTCATGCCAATATAGGTTTTGCCACAACCAGGGCAAGCGACCTCGTATACAAGATTACTACGAGATAAAGGAGGAAGTTTATCTTGGTTGGAAACAAAATAAGAGAGTTTTTTAGTGTCATAAATAGTGATGAACTTAACCGGTTTAGAAAGAAATCTTTGTATTTTATTAAGACATGATTTTAAAGGAAAATGGCAACGGTCTCCGAGATAAGGAATACGAATCCAAATTTTAGGCAACGTATCCGTGTCATGATTAACGGCATCGGAAGTAGAACTATATCACACTGAGTATACTTGGTTTTAAGCTTTTCAATCAAAAAGTTTCTAACACCATTAGGATAACCATTCCAAGACATAAAAGATTTGATGCTTTCAATTTGATTGTTGAAAAGTGTTTTCGTACTGCAAATTTTAAAAGCCCGGTAGAACAGAGATTTTACCCATGCAGTTTTGCGATGAAAAGGCTCAAAACTTGAAAAATCTGAATACTGACCGGTGTGGGTGTCCTTACGATAAATGTGAGTACCATCAACCGAGACTTTTGTGTCTAAAAATGAACTACGCCATCGGGAAATGTGTTAAGTTAGGATCGAAACTATTGAACTTAGCTAAAACGGCGGAAATATTGGAAGGTTTTATCAAAACGAGAGCGTCATCAACGTAACGTTTATAGAATTTTATAGTACCATCGGCAAACAACTCGAAAACTATTAATCTTTCAAATTCAGTTAAAATTATATTAGCTAAGACAGGTCCTAATGATGAACCCATAGAAACGCCGTCATTTTTGGACATAAATTTGCTCGTCAAAAGAAAAGGCAGTTACAATTAATTCGCCTTTAAAAATACGATCTAGAATAATTTCGACTGTGCGGGAAAGTGGAACATTGTCATTGGTAAAAAGGGATTCAACATCGAAAGAAACGAATTGGTATACTAAGCCTTCTTGAAACAAATGTTTGGGAATATTGTTAATATTGGTCACCGCATCAAAAGAATCAGAAAGATAAAAATTTTCCAACGTTGTAGTGTGGAGTGTTAGTAGTGTCAACTATTGGTCAGAATTTAGGTAAAGTGTCAAATTTCTTGTGAGTCTTTGGCAAGCCATACATGTGCTCTGCCAAAATGTGCTGTGATAGGTCTTAGAGCGTCAACTTGTTCGTCAGTAATTTCATTACGTTTGTGAAGTTTAAGTAGGTAGTTCTGTAAAGAATGAAGTGTAGTTGTTAATGTCGGGTCATAATCCAATTTCTTAAACTTAGAGGAATCAGAAAAATGAGATTTGATGGGAATTACATATTTCTATTAATCAAAGCGATTAATGAGCTCAATGCCATTTCCTTTATCAGGCTTAAGGATGGCAAAAGTTTCTGTTAGTTTGTTTAGAATGTTTATCTTCTTGCATCCTAGCTTAAGCTCTTTCAAGTCAAGATCAATATAATTATAAGTGAAGGAGCGAAGAGAGTTCTTAATCTTATCTTGCAACGTATCTTCTTTCCTTGAAAATATCCAAACGTGATACCTGTCTCCAAACGTCTTCAGTCACAGCCATGATTTCTAGTTGGTTATAGGTCGAGTTGCCAGGCCATATCTAAGTCCCAACTTTAAAACATCTAGTTCATCGGACGAGAGCGTGTGATTGGTCAAGTTGTTTCGTTCGGGTTCTCAGTGATGCCATCTGATGTCCGTTTCAGTGTGGTTAAGACAGAGAGCTTTTTCTGGTGTCTACGACTTAACACTTGAAATAGGGGCAAATTTTTATTGGAGGACATGAGCGTCATATTGTTTATGTCATTACCAAGTGAATCCGGTACCGTAAGCCTTCATATATAGCCCTCCTGCCCCCCCCCCCCATGAATAAGCCCCTCCCCATGTGTAAGCCCACCATATTCACTAAAGCTCAGGCCATTTCAATAGAATAGATGCCATCTGATGTTCGTTTCAGTGTGGTTAAGACAGAGAGCTTTTTCTGATGTCTACGAACAATCTTGGTTTTCTCAGAGAGGAAGCGGTTGAATGGAAAAGCAGATAAGTTTATATTTCATCCAGGTTGTGCGCTGAGGTAGTTGATGTTTCTAAGTTCAGTAGTTTCGGTAGTAAGCTTTTGAAGCGCGATTTTCTTGTCATGAATGGCGTCATTCAACAACAGATGCAGATAGCGTGTTTGGGCCTTCTTTCTCTTCATGCGCGTGATGTTCTGACAACTCTTCTCCTATTGAAAACCTTATTTTCAATAGCTACAGAATACTTCACATTACCAAATCTAACAACCACAACATTCGCAGAAAAAGCACTCGCAGAAAAAGAAGTTACAACTGTTCCAACGCCGCAGTTTCATTAGCTTTCGACTGCCAGTTTGCGGACTTCAAAGGGCACTCTCCTGAGATTTTTTGCACTCCCCTTAAAAGTCATGCACCTCCCCTTGGGAAAGGTTGAATGATAGATCAAAGTGAAATGTTTATGCGTTGCTTTGAGTCTACATTTGAGAAACTGATAACTACTCATCATGTCTGTATTAAGTGCTCTAGCTTTTAAATGGAATATTTCGAAATAAACTGTGTAGTAATGTAATACAATACAACGGTAACTCCGAATAAAGTAAGCATTTTGATTCAACGTCGCGACTTTATTTAGTCATGATGAGTTAATTTATTTAGTCATGATGACTAAAAATTTATTAAGAGCTTGCATTTTAATACAGTGAATAGCTTCAAAATCTTGCTTCGTTCCAAAGACTTCAAATATGGCGAATAAATTGACAAAACGATAATATTACATGACGTTCCAACGAAAATAACAGAAAGGATTGCGGGCGCGAGCGGAAAGGCGAGGAAAGAAATAAATAGAAGGGATGAAACACCGGCAATGCGATCGTTTGATGTGTTCCATAAGTAGCCTGTTCTCTCGGAAAATTCCGATCATCCACCGGAAACGCCGCCGGCCAACCCCAACAACGCCTACGCGCGAAATTAATGAAAATAAACAATGTTAGCTGGACTATGTTATGAAAATTAAAAACATCATATTAATTAAACGTAATATGAATAAAACATCATACAGTAACGTAATATATTTAAATTATTGCACTTACTTGTATAAATCATAAAAGCTTGCATTTACAGTGAATAGCTTCAAACATTGCTTCGAACGATGGTTCACAACATATAAAACAACATATTGTTCAAATAT